TTCAACCCAACATACAATCACATATAAACCACATAGTAACTATCATTCCGAGTAACACAATAATGGGTTGGCATTGGTGCCTTTGACCCATGGATACAACGAGAAAACTCACCTTAATCCGAGATAACCGATACACACGCGTTGTTGCTATCGGAATCCTCACACTAAACACAACCAAAATATCCCAAATCAATAAGTAAATACAATTTCCCAAAGTCCAAGGTTCTAAACCATATTCTATACTTCCAATGGGTAAAAAACCATTTTGCCTTTCTCATATCTAATCCAATAACCCATGGCCCAAACTCCAAAAGACCCAAGGCCCAAAAGAAGATCTCTGCTTACCCAACCGGTATGCCTCGTGTATGGCCAACTGAAGCACAAGCTACAACTTGCTAAAGCTCAAGGATGGGGACCTCATGCATTACGTTGAGCGTACGCATACGTACACCCAACGTACTCATGAGATGACAAAAACTTCATATTAAGCACTTAATGCTTAAGACCAAAACGTCCAAACTTATATCTAACCTCTAAATAAGGTCTTAATCCATAAAGTTGCAAACTTTACTCCTTTGCATGTCTTAATGGGACCCCAAATCCCATTTTAACCATCTAAACCCATAATATGAATATCAACTTAAGCATGATTCATTAAAACCCATCAAGATGATATTTGTATGGTTCCTAATAACTCCATAATGGATAAAGTTTCCAAATTTATCCGTTAGAATGGTCCAACCAACGAAGATCTATTCTTTAAGTTTCAAAGGGACCAAAAGTGCATCTTTTATAACTTAATCCATTAAGTATAAATCTCAAGCTTTTAGATATGAATCAATATGATGTTTAGATGGATAAAGTTTCCAATTTTATCCATAACAATATCACAAACTTTCAAGATCTAAACTTTATGCAGTAAAGTGACGAAAAGATCATAACAACCAAGACTAGCTAGATCTATCAAATGCATCATCAATACTCAAACTTTATACCTCTAGAAGAAAGATCATGGTGAACAAAGTCTGGGTCTACAAGCTCCAATGCATCTAACACTTCTCTAATGAGGTTCTTCTTCTCCAAGATGCACCAAGAAGACTCCAAAGCACTTAAAGACACCTTCTTCTTGCTCATAAGGCTCAAAGTAGGGTTACGGTTTCAAAAGAGGGTGTTGGAGAGGTGGAGGCTGAGAATGGAATGAGTTTTAGGAAGTTAAGGAGCTTAAATAGGGCTCAAACCATGAAAATAGGGTTTAGGCACTGCTTTCCTACACCCAACATACTCAGGTATACTTTAGGATGCCTAACGTACTTCCCCGTACGCCCAGTGTATGCGGGTTTACCCAAAACACCTAAATTCAAACAGTCATAACTTCTTCATTTTAACTCCGATTTCGACAGTCCTTATATCCACAAAAAGGTAATGAAAAGATTTATAACCATATCAACTCTCCTTTTCCTTAAAACTTTCTTAACTTAAATCCAAAATTTATAAAAGGCCCAAACTATCACTTTACAGTTATACTCTTGGGCTCCAAAGCACCGACTGAACTCTCAGATCACCTAATCTACATGGCCCACATCCAAAGGGGTCTAAATCTCTCTTTCCCTTAAGGCATGAAGCCTTATGATAACTGATCTTCGGGTCACGATCCCGAATTATTAAACAACTCAAAACATGGTGTTACAATCATAGCCCTACGTATATCATTTTGCTATTTTTGTGACCAATAGATTCTGACCTTGAAAATCAAGATTTTTCCTCCCTTTTGTCTCTCTTTCTCACTCATACTCGTGAAATGAACTAGAAGGAAGATTACATACCTTGAAAGTGCTCCAATGATAGCCAACACTTGGTCCCTTCCTCATCCTTTTCTTCTCTTTCCCGCTTTCTTCTTCCCATGATTCTTCCTTGCATCAAACATACTTACAAAGGGTCAAGGGTTTAAGGGTGTACATATGATCATGAGGGAGTCATATAACTTGGTGTTAGGTGTGTCAGACCTAACAAATAAAGGGGTACAAAATGACTCCAAGAACACTGTTACTTTGCACTAAAAATGTAATACAAGGTAAGCAAGGTCGATCGACAAAGACACGGGACAAGTGATTATACCTTTTTGCGTAAGGTACAAATGTGGTCACAAAAGAGGGGGTTTTAGATGCATTGATTTAAGCAAAGTATTGAAGTAATAAGTAAACAATTAATTAAATAAAATAAATTCAAGGTTTGTAAATACTCCAACTCTATGCAAGACAAATTAGTAATATGATTCCATGAGTGAAATGATATTTGTTCATATCTATCTAAGTTAGTACTTGGAAATGCTAACAAGCTCTAGCACCTCCCATTCACCATGTTGATTTCTTTGACTAATCCTAACCTTACCAATCTAATCTAAACAAGCTCTTAAAATTAGGTGAAAAGATTGCATTATATTTTATGTGAATATTCCCAACAACATTCAATACTCCTCACAAGCTCGGGAGCGTAAGAATGTGGGAATTTGATTTACACTAGATTTATTCTAACGAATTCAATTTAGTGCTTGTTACTTGCTCTATTATACAAAACAATTATGAGTTTTACACAAAAGATAACTTGGGTGATTTAACCCTAACTCAAATGGCCAATAAGAACTAGAATTAAAATCAAACTTTCAATTGAAACATAATCAAATTCACTAGATAGCATTTAGAAACAAACACCAAATCACACGATTGAAATCACACACAGTAGTCACCACATAAAGTTGGAGAATCTAGGGTTCTAGCCACACATGACTAGAACAAAACTCAAATCTAGAAAATGAAGTTAAAATCTTACAAAATGAAATCTAAACGAAATCCGAGTGTTTCCAAGTGTTAATTTACTCCAAAATCTTCCAGAAAATCGCCCCAAGTACTCCCAAAATCGTCTGAACTAAAAATGGAACCGGTTGCACACTTTTAAGAAGGATGAAAAACTACTTTTTAACCTACGACCACGTTTACACGGCCGATGTAAATTAACATTGTCATTTACACGACCCGTATAATTAAAAAAGTATAGTGCTTAAATTTATCGGGCCTTCAAAGTGCGATGCTTAAGGATATTCGTTTGCATGACCCGTGTAAACGCAAGGCTTTCATTTACATGACTGTGTGATCCTCTGAAAAGTCAAAATCTTCAATTTTTTGATATCATCATCCCCGATGCTCTACAGGTCCCGAAATTTTGTCCACATCTCTTATCTACCTCCTCAAGCAAGATCTTACTTCCAAAAGTCCATGAAATATCATAAAAGTGTGTGAATAAAATAGCCTCATGAAAAATTTCAAAAAACATGCAAAATGCATGAATTTAAGCTTATATACAATGTACTTTTATGGAATAAAACGCAAAATATGTGCATGAAATGCCCCTAACACTTTGTTTGGGGTGCTAGGGAATTAAATCTCGTAAGTCACAACACTACATGCAGCAAATTCCAAAAATTACACTTTAGGTCCTCCGAGTTTGCCATAATTAATTATTTGGTTGTTATGACATTTTAAGTTTTAGAATTGTCTCTTTTTAGCCCCTTCGATAAAATAAAGATTCTTTTATGTCATTTTATTATTATTATTATTATTATTATTATTATTATTATTATTATACAACTGTTCTTTATTTTTTACTAAATCCACAATTGGTGATAAACAATTACATAACGAAAAATGGGGCGTTACTCATTTTCAGGATATTACATACGTCGACCTATTTAAAAACTAAAAGTTTCACATCAACTAATTTGTATGGAATCACATACAAATGGTTCGATATGTGCTAATTTGGTGATTCAAGGTTTTGAGGCTGCCAATTTGGATGGAATATTATCCCAAATGGTCTTGCATCTGCTAAGTTGGACAATAGAGGTTTTGTTTCTACTAATCTAGAGACTAAAGGTTTTGTGTTTGCTAACCGAAGTTCCTACATTTTATAACTAAGGGTTTTGTGTTGGCAACTAAAGGTTTTGCGTTTGAAAACAAAAGTTTTGTGTCTCCTAAATTGAAAATGAATAACAAAGTAATGTCTAAGGAATTTGTTGACACTATTGTTATTGATAAGACTATTGATGAGGAAAATGCCTCAAAGTGATCCAATTAATGAGATAATTATCGATTAAACATGTGGAAAGCTAAAATAACCAAATAGATGACCACTCGCAAACAAAATTGTTTGGTGCAGTACGAGTGCAACTAAAATAACCAACTTGTGGAAAGCTACAACAACTTCAGGCTTCAACGCAAGCAAACGTAGACCAAATCTACTCCAATTTGTCAATGTGAGACTAGCCTTTTGGTAGAGATTTTGCCTCTTAGATTGAAAGTCACGAGTTCTAATGTGAACATTAATGAATTCTACTAATTTGGTGATATTATTATCTAACAACTAACCTGCCGTTCAAAACAAAAATATCATTGGAAAACATAAACTTGCTATACAAAAAAAAATGATTATTTAATTCATAACTTTAAAATTAAATCTTAAAATATATTTTTTTATGTAATTAACTCTAAAACCAAAACTGAATATATATATATATATATATATATATATATATATATATATATATATATATATATATATATTAAATATATATATATATATATATATATATATATATATATATATATATATATATATATATATATATATATATTAAAAATTGAACTAAATTTATAACAAAAATTAAATTTAGCAAATATAATTAATAAATTTTAGATAACTTGCTATATGTATATAATATCACTATTCGTGACAACTCGTTATTGCAGATGACATCTTAAGATAATAAAATATAAATTGGTTTTAGAGACAACTAAATTATTTCTTTACCAAATTTATTTTTAATCCTTATTTTGAAAAAACAACGTAAAAGCAACCAATTTAGTTTAATCCTTATTTTAGATAACTTGCCACCTCTAGGCCTGTAGCTACATAATAACTTATAACGTAAGCAAGGTAAAAAAGCAACAATCCTCTTCACTACTGCATTTGCCTATAAATAATACCCATTCTGAGCTCTGGATTCTTTGTACTGTGTTTGCTTTTTTCTACTACTACAATTCTTGAAGAGCTTGTTGAGCTAACATCTGTGCAATATCTTCTTCTCAGATCTCTTAGCATCAATCCGGCCTCCAGAAATTTGTGACAATGGCAGATGAATCAAAGTATAAGTTGGTTGGAAAGTGTGAACCCAACCAAGGATATAACCTTTCACTGCAGAAGTTGAATCTTGATTTCGTGTGTGAAGTGTGTGGAGAGCTCCTCACTTTGCTTCTGACTTGGGGAGGATCTCAAGAAGCTGAAAACCAATCAAATGTAAACAACAGTTTTTTATTTCTTTTGATTAGTTAGTTTATCATTTTGCTTATGCTTCGTGATTTGTTTTCAGTGCCACTGTCAAACATTAAAAATCAGTGCAAATAGATCCCCCCGCAACAACCATGATGACACCGTGGCTATTGTCTCGGTTCTTGGAAAATTTAAGATAAAACAGAACAAGTTAACTGGGAAAGATGCTGAGTGGCTAGCTGTAAGTGTATTATCAAATTTTATTTGGGTATATATATATATATTTAGTGACCCTGTTTAACTTGCAGGTGTCTTCGACTGATGGTAAAAGGTTCACATTCAATTTAGATGAGAAGCTGAAAGTAGACCGTGCTATGAAGGTAATGGAGGAGATCAACATCGAGCCAATGGATTCAACTGGTATGCAGCTGAAAAGGAAACATGCTGAGATCCAGCCCACTGATGCTGAAGATGATGATGAGCCAAGATCTGCATCACCGGTTATGTACTCCAAAAAGTCTAAGTATAGGAAGTTGGATGACTATGATACATCTAATTATAACCACAGCGAGGCAGATGAGTATGAGAGTGACCAGGAAGGATATGACATGGATGACAACTGTACATACGATCCTCGGGATGATTTTGTTAAACCAAATGCTTAGCATGGAGGAGGTGGCAGCAAGGAAAGGAAGAAGGAACTAATCGTATAGGAGAAGGAGGCAATTAATATTGGTGTGTACGTAGATTTGGAAGCATGCAACTCGTGTCTAGATTATCTATATAGTATGTTTATAGTACTTTTATAATTTGTAGTGCAAATATTATGTCACATGAAGTTATGTCTAGATATTCACCGTATCTATGTTTGGCCTAGCTACTTTTATACTAAAGGTGATATATATTAAGTCACTAGAAGTCGTGTATTTATCATATACTAGAAACAATTCCAAGTAAATACTAATTATATCTTTTGATAGTCGTTTCTCCAACTCTTTTAATTATGCTTTTGTATTGTTGCATTTATTTACTGGGTCAAACTAATTCTTGGTGATCATATCATAGTGCAGCCTAAATCTTCATATAAACGAAATTTAGATTCTTTATATTCAATAAGGCTCAAGTTTTTACGTGTAAACTGGACCACAATGTGTCACAAATGCTCAGGTAGCATGCATTTTTGGTATGAATAAATCCTTTTGCAGTGGACGACTAATAATCAACTTTTGGTTTTCACTCATGTGGTTATAAAGATATGTATTTTGAAATTTAATCTGATATCCTTTGTAAGCGCAATAGTGTACATGTCTCATCAAACCATTTCATGGAATACGAGAATTAGCTTTCTTTATTTTTTTAGCTATATTAATGCTGTAGATGAAATTATAAGTTTATTAACTTTATATATAAGTTTTTCTTTTCTCGTCACGCGGGGCAACTAACGTCTCGGTATAACAATTATCAGAACAGCATGCATGCACTAGGCACTTTGATTTAGTGAACTAAAAGTATATATAATTATAAGAGTAAAATCAACAAGCAATATGCTCTCATGACACATCTGGCTTTTCAAAAGTTCCAGAGGATAAGTCAATGCGAATTGATGTACAACAACCTTCCTTAAAATGGTAAAAGCTACAACCACCTTTCTTAAAACGGTAAAGGGTATATTGTGAAGTAATCATTGAAATCTTTATTGTATTAAATTGGAGGAAATGACAAACAAGAAACCATTATCATTATATAGAGGTTTTAGTTTTTCCTTACTGACGAATACATCAACTTTATTTATTATTATTATTATTTTTTTTTACCTTTTTACTATATTAACCATTTAATACGTTGCTTGTTTTTACCTTGGTAAAGGAAATATTTTACTAATTGTCTCTAGAAAACCAATTTATATTTTATTATCTTAGGATGTCACCTACTATCACAAGCTGTCATCAATGGGTCCTAGTGACGTTATATATAGCATATTTATAGGTTATCCAAATTTTATTTATAGTATTGGCTTAACTCTAATTTTGTTATGAATTTAGTTAAAAACTTTTGTAATTACTTTTTAGTTTTTCCAACTTTATTCTTAGAGTTAATCATATAAAAAAGTCTTATATTTTTTGATTTTTTGTCAATTAAAGATAATTTTAATTATTTAAAAAAGTACCGATATTTTTTGCTCTTTTTTATATTGGATCTTTAAGCATATTTAACATTAACTTCCCAATAATATTTTTTTTTCGAAGAAACTTTGATAAAATTTTGCATTTGGATTGACTTTTCCATTTTGACTGTAATTCGCTAGTTCTTATCATTGTTTGCTCTTTTTGATAAATTTGTTCTTTTCTACTTCGATTTGGGGTAGATGTGGTCTGCCTTGGAACTTGATTTTGTATTGATTTTGTTGTAGGTTTCCACAAGTTGGTTAGTTTAGACCGTACTCGCAATGCACTACGGTTTTGTTCAACGATTGGTCATCTATAAAAAAAACATGTTGAATCCATAATAATCACATTAGATACTTTTGAGACATTTTTTTCATCAATAGTCATATATTAGTAATATCATGCTCAACAACTACCTTAGGCATTGCATTGTTAATTTCACAAAATCTTTGTTAGCAAAAACAAAAGTGTATGTTGCAAACACAGACAGTTAACAAATGCAGAACCTTAAGTTAGCAAATCTAGAGCATTTTGGTTTTTAAATTAGCAGACGCAGAACCTCTAGTCTCCAAAACCTTCGGTCTCTATATTAGCAAATGCAAAACCATTTGCCTACGATTTCATCCAAATTAGCTAACATTAAACTTTCAATCCTTAAATTACTAAAGGTAGAACCATCTATGATATAATTTCATCAATGTAGCATACACAAAACCTTCATTCTCTATATTACTAAGCGTAAATATAATCGAACCACATCTTCCTCCATTAAGAACGCCATAACAGTGACAACAATAAAAACATAGGAGTTATGATATTTAAAAATGAAAAAGTTTGTCTTTTTTCCGAAAACTAATAGTTTATTACCAAAAGATTACCGGCTCACCTGCTAAGATGATCAAACGAAAGAACTAGAAAAATATAGGTTTTTTTTCTTAAAATAAAAAGGTTCATATTTAAACATGAAAAGTCCCAAAATGTATGGACTTTAATAAAATTAATCACTGTTTTTACATGATTTCGAAAAATCAGTTTTTTTCAAAATTATATATTTTATACTATTTTTATAGGTTTATATATTTTTTACAACTTTTTTCACAATTCTTTTAACAATGTAGCCCTTTATAAAAACGTGTGCTCCCGTATTTTCGACAAAGAATTTTGTTCCCTTACGTCATTTCCATAATGGTTAGATAGTACGCGATCTCCTCCATTTGTTTGATAGTGATCCTTATCTACAAAACATTATATGTGCATTATCTGACAATCCTTAATCCCACTATGGTTTCACCCTACAAAAAACAAAAAAAATATATCACAAGGGTCGATTTGTTATACCAACATCATCCATATGGACCCAATGTTTATTTGATGAAGTCCATTTTAGTCCTAGTGGTGTCACTCTGTTTTTATAGGACATATCATAGCCTTGCATCCAACCTTTATTGACCGAAGGGTAGGTCAGATATCCCTGATATGTTTGATAATAAGCGTTGATATGTTTATATGCTGGCATGATATGTTATATGTGATAGCGGTAGTAGGAGGGGAATAGTTCCCAAGTTCGGTTGTTAGGACCGAAGGGTAGTTCGGACACCCAGATATGTCTGATAGTATGTTTATGTTATGATATATGTGATAGTAGCAGTAAGGGGTGGAATAGTCCCCGAGGGTCGGTTGTTAGGACCGACGGGTAGGTCACCACCCCAGAATGGCTTGACATGGGTAGGACGGCACCCCAGAATGGTCGCATGGGTAGGAAGGGCAGCCCAGAATGGCCGCATGGGTAGGTCAGCCCCCCCAGAATGGTCGTACCGAGTAGGTCGGGCACCCCAGAATTGTCCGGCAGTATGTATGCTAAGTGATTGTATGGTATGTGGTACGATGGGGGGAACTCACTAAGCTTCGTGCTTACAATTTACAATTTTGGTTTCAGGTACCTCTTCAGCGAAGGGGAAGGGGCTGGCGCGGTAGCGGCACATCATACACACACTCTTTGTTTTCCGCATTATGAGTTATTCTGGGATTTGTACTCTGACATTATTATGTTGTTACGATTCGGTTTTCAGATACGAGACATGCTTTTATTAAATGATATGATCGGTTGATAATTTGATACAAATGTTGTGCAAATCACTTAATCAAAAATGAAATTTTTGGTCATGAAAATTAGGTCGTTACATTTCTTGAGAGTGCTTCAATCTCGTCTTCTGCGTAGTGAGGTGTACTCCTCGTATGAGAGTTAGAAATGGTGAGTACCTGTTTAACATCATATGGATTTGTCTGCAACAGATTGAGATGCGATATCGCCATCTGAGGCAGCGGAACATCCGACGACAGTTGTCGAAAATTGCTCTGGAGTACTAGCTCTGTTATTTTTGCTGTAATCGGCGGCGTCTGTGCCATTAGCACCTGTATTGTGGCCTGTGTTCTACACTCGCAATGATGGTCGTTGTTTAACGTCGTCGGTATTTTGAATAGATCTTCTACTGCCGTCCCCGATGTTGTTGTGTGTAGATCCCCTTTTTGCAGAGAACCAACGTAGTTTATTGGTTGTATCACTCTGAGGATACGTTCGGATGGCGCCAAATGTTGTGACATGTTCAACAGGGGTTTGGATGTCGGATGATGGATCTTCCTTGAGAGTTTTCACGAGAACAGAATACAAAGAAGAATCGTTAAAGGACATCCTGGTGTTCTCCCGGGACGTCACTCCAACGATCAAGTTAGTTTTCTGAGAGAGGTAATTTTAAGGTAATATTTGTGTGAGAGAATATGGATCCCTTCCTTGAGGCGGAAGAGATCCTTTTATACCTGCTTCTAAAGGATCGTGGGGACCTCGTCCGATGAGCGTGAGACGTGGCCTCCTCTGACTGGGAGGATCACGCCCACGTTAACTAATTGCCTGATGATGTCAAATCTGGGCGTCGCCTAAGGTTTTTGTCACGTCCTGGTTGGTTGTGAGTGAATGAGAAGATCGCAAGGGATATTTTTCCCTGGTGGGGGGAAACGAACTGTCACCCCGGTGCTAGACTGCCTTGGCTAAGACTGGGCATTGTCCAAAATCTTGACGAGATAACGTTTCGTTTATGATGTCCATTATATTTAACGGGACCGTTCATGGTAACGTTAACATTATGTATCTTACCAATTGTACTAAACCCAATATTTCTTTCACTGTAAACTTGCTAGCAAGGTTCAGTTCATCCCCAACAAAAAAAAAAACATTGGAATGGGATTAAACATATTTTGCGATACATTTGAGGAACTACTGATTTAGGGTTATTTTATTCTAATGATTCAAAACAATGTTTGATTAGTTATGCATATGCAGGCTATTTATTTTATTCCTCATAAAGCTAGGTCGCAAACTGGATACATATTCATGAATGGAGGCACTACAATTTCCATGCTCCCAAAAGCAAACACTTGTCGTAACATCCTCAAATCATGCTAAAGTAATTTCACTAAATGAAGCTAGTAGAGAATGCACATGGTTAAGATCGATGAGACAATTCATTTTTTTTTCTTCATGTGTACTAGATAAAGAAAAAGTTCCAACTTTAATTTATGAAGATAACTCGACATATGTCACTCAAATGAAATATGGATATATCAAGAGTGACAAAACAAAACATATACCCTTAAAGTTTTTTGAGTACATTCAAGAGCTTATAAAAGATCAAAAGGTTGAGATAGAATATGTTCAATCCAGCAACAATGTAGCATGCCTCTTCACGAAAGCACTTCATACTGCAATCTTCAAAAATCATGTACATGGCATCGGAATGTGACATGTACATAAAATGATGTCTAAATGAGGGGGAGTCAAGTATATACTGCACTCTTTTTCCCTTCGTTAAAGTTTTTTTTTCTCCACTGGGTTTTTTTAGCAAAGTTTTTTAATGAAACAGTACTTCAAGGTTGAACCCAGATTAGAAAAATTTTCATCCAAGGAGGAGTGTTATAAAATTTATATTAAATTATTGAGTTAGACAATGCATGTGGATGAACAATTTTCACCTCTTTAATAATTTCCTTTACCTATTGAATTACTATTTTGATGATGTGTGAATAAGATGTTATGTATTATTAATACTCATCAAATGTGAAAAATAAATAAATAAATAACATCTTGAATACAATCTTCTAAGGCTATGTTTGGTAGACTAGCTGAAAAGTTAACTGATAACTAAAAAGCTAGCTGTTAAATAAAAAGTTAGCTGATAGCCGAAAAATTAGGTGATAAAAAATAACGTTTGGTAAACTAACTGAAAAGCTAGCAGAAATATATAAAAGGGAAAATGACTTATAAGGGTAACAAAGTATTAGACTTGTACAAAAAATATCATTGAACTTTTTTTTTGTACACATATTACCAATCAACTATAGCTTTTATACACATATGACTATTAAACTTCACCTTTGTTCAAAAAATACCATTATATTACCGATAATAATAGATCATTAGCCATGTAGCATGCCACGTGGCATGCCATGTGGCTGCTGACGTGGATTTTACTGTTTATTATGTACACATTATACCATTAACCTATTTTTTGTACACATTATACCATTAAACTTTTTTTTGTACACCTTTTACCGTTAAACTTTTTTTTATACACATTTTACCATTAATGTTATATATCTTATTGAAAAAATATTATTTCAAAAAATACATATCATTACATAAAAGTAGGTTTCCCATCACCTGATGTGGATTTTATTGATTTTCTAAATTTTAGTAAACTTATCATTATAAGTCATTTTCCTATCGGTAAACAACGACATAATTTCAATGCATTTTTTTAATTATCAACCATAATCAAGAAGAGAGGGATTATAATAAGGTAACATGTACAAAATATTTCATGAGTTTATAAGTGTGCCTCAAACGTAGTTTCCTAAGAAAATGACTTATAAGAATATGTTTACTAGACATTAGCTAAAATAATGAACAATTGAGTATTTCTTCGCCGCTCCAGATAAAAATCTCAAGTTCAAACCTTGTGGGTTTCAATTGATATATGACCAACATAAATTCACAATGTAGTTGTAAAAGAAAGTTCTTAGTATCATTGTAAAAAAACAAATCCTTTCCCACAATAGGTGATGGCAAACTCATTTTATGTAAAAATATGTATTTTTTGAAATGATATTTTTTGAATAAATTATATAAGATTAATGGTAAAATGTGTACAAAAAGTTTAATGGTAAAATATACACACAAAAAAGTTCAATGGTATAATGTGTACAAAAAAATAGTTTAATGGTATAATGTGTACACAATATATAATAAAATCCATGTCAGCAGCCACATGGCATGCCACGTGGCTTGTTACGTGGCTGGTGACCTATTATTACCGGTAATTTAATGGTATTTTTTGAACAAATGTGAAGTTTAATGGTCATATGTGTACAAAAACTATAGTTGATTGGTGATATGTGTACAAAAAAAATTCAATGGTATTTTTTGTATATTTCTAATACTTCGTTAACCTTACAAGTCATTTTCCCTATATAAAATTACATAAAAGAACGTGTAAAAATATATCTTTCTATAATTAATTAAGGGGCGTGTTTGAAAATTTGAAAAAAAAACTCATAAAAAACTAGTTTAAGTAGTTTTTCAAAAAACTAGCTTATAAGCTACTTTTTGATATACCAAATACGACAGCATAAAAAAAACTTAAAAAATAAGCTAGATTTTATCAACTAGCTGTGACGCGTCAAACACAACCTAGGTGTTCACGAATCCTGTCAAATTTTTTTATAATGTTTTAGTTTAGTTTTATTATTTTTACTTTTAATTTAGTTGAATTTATAAGATTTATGATATTTTCCTTTTAATTTTATTAACATTCGATATAATCAATTTATATTAATAAAATTTAAGTAAAAGAACAACTAGACTCGCCGATTGCGGCTCTGGTAAAACGCACCGCCGAAAGAAACAACCACCGGAAGTCCGGAACCTCACACCGTCCCCAACAATGAGAGCCATCGCCGCAGCGGCAGCTAAAGCTATACTTTTTTCTGGAAGACGTTATTCTCACTCGTTTTCTTCAATTCGTGGCTACTCTATCATGATCTCGACACACCTCAACAACACCACTGTAACTCATTCTCAGTCGTCCCCTTACTCCGCCGACCGCTGTTCTCCGTCTCGCCAACTTCTTGCCTTCCCATGGTCCGTCAATCAGATCCGATTCGCCAAAGCTCGCGGCTCCGATGTGAGTTCTTCCCTTTGTGTTGCATCTTAACAAATTAGAAACCTTTATGATTGAGCTTCATGAACATGACTTGATTTGCCTGATTGAAATCACTCTCTGTTCGAATGATTCTTACTTCCTGATAATCAAGTTAACATGTATATAAAATTAAACTCGCAAAATTCATCTGGTATATACGTTAATCTCACATCAACTCGCGAAAATCCTAATAACTCCAAGTCCTTTCTCTAACCCTAATAAAATGCGAGTCTTCTAGAAAATCCACTGATTTAGTGTTTGAAGCTATTACATTCTTCAAATCAAATTTATAACTGATTATATCATATGGAGAATCAACATACTTAGGGCTTAAAAATTACCCAGACACCCAATCAATTCATAATACAGAGCTAATCATCCCTGCAGGTGAGACCAGGAAATGTCATTGAAAGGAAAGGTTTGTCTTCCATTATCTTTCTACTTCTACACTCATTGACAAAGATTCACATATAAACTCATTCAACTCCTTCTACCTTGTTCGTGGGCTTTCATCTACTCCAGGAAAAGTTTACCAAGTAATCTTCTTTCTAATCTCTTTCAACTTATCCACATTTAAAGCAACTCTTTATGTCTGTATGTATTAAGAGCTTATACTTATCTAGGTTGTGAAAGCTCAACATTCTACTCAAGGAAGAGGAGGTGCTATCATACAGGTTTTTATAAAAACCTCCACAAGTTTCCATATCTTGTTACCTTCATTTGTGATTCTTTTTTATAATATTTTGTTTGTATGCTTGTTTGATCAGGTTGAGCTTCGTGATGTTGATAGTGGAAACAAAGTCAATGAAAGATTTCGTACAGATGAAACAGTTGAAAGTAAGCATTTTTAACACAATAAAAAACATTTAATAGTGTTCTCACTTCTCATATCTGTTAATTGTTGTTCAGAAATATTTGTTGAAGCCAAATCTTTCACATACCTATACACAGATGAAGAAACTGACAGCATTGTGTTAATGGAGTAAGTTTTTCTTTTTCCATTTTTTTTTTAAACTCAAATTATTTTACCATGTTTCTCAATTCTCATATGCTTATTTTTTTATCAGGCCTAAAACTTTTGTCCAATTAGATGTGCCCAAACATCTATTTGGCGACTCTCTTCCATATTTAAAAGGTCACGATTCATAAACCAATATCTTGTTTTCATTATTTTAACAATCTGTTTTACTGATTTTTTTTTTTTTAAATTGTCTTGATAACAGATGATATCACAGTTTCTGTGGAACTTTTTAATGATAGGCCTATGTCAGCATCCGTACCTAAACGAGTGACATGTACTGTGGTGGAAGCACAAGTTCCTATGAAGGGCATGGGAGCTACCCCTCAGTATGTTTTTTTTGCTATATTCGATAATGAAAATGAAAAGAGCATTTACGTCTCTTTGCACTGACGAAACATTAAGAGCAAATCGTCCCACCATGCTCTATCTTTTTCCGGAGCAAGTCGTTGTCCCACCTTGCTCTATCTTTTTGTCAGTGTCAATGTCAGTGTCAGTGTCAGTGTCAGTGTCCAGTTCGTTGACTATGTTTTCCATTTTTTGTGACAGTACTAAAAAGGTGTTACTGGACAATGGCCTCAGTGTACAAGTAAGTTTATTATTTTATACAAATCAAAAATGTGTTATATGTTTTTTTTGATAAATAATTTATTTGATTTTTGATATTGTGGATTGTTGTTGTAGGTGCCACCTCATGTTATAACAGGGGACAAGATACTTGTTGACACCACAGACAACTCATATATAAGCAGGTGTTTTTTTTTTTTTTTTTTTTTTTATAATTTAAATCATGGAGATTATATCATATGTTTCTTTGTTAATAATTTTTACTATAAGGAATTTGACACCATTTATAATATATTTTCTTTGTTTTTCAATAGGGCTTGAGCATTGGCATTGAGAAAAAAGTTGGAAGTATTTTTGTAGTGAAATTTGTTTAATAAGCATGCAAGTGTTTTTGTGGTAGAGTTGATATTTGTTACCACAATGCATAGATATTTAATAGACATTTTTCTTTTGTTATTTGTTGTTTTGAGTTATTTCATTGAAATGAAAACATAGGGAACTATATCACTATTTTGTTTTCATGAGATGCAAATCACATAATAACAAACAAACTAAAAATAAAATATAAAACAAACTTTAGTCGCTTTCCATACGACGTAGACAATAAATTGTGTTTCATGTCTTCCTCTTCTGATGACAAGTGCTCTTTTGCAACAAGTGTATTCAAAAGCATGAGATAAACCTTCTTAACCTTCCATTCTTCTTTTTGAACTTTTCTTTCTTGCTTTATTTGCTCCAATTCAAGTCTTTTCCTCATGATTTATAAATGCAAAGAACTTTCCACCATGTATGTTACTTTTATTGTTTCTTAATGGAGTTTGAATATGTTGTTTGTAGCTACATTGGTCAAGCAAAAAGGTTGAAAATATATTTGTAGTGAAATTTACTTATGGATGGATAGAAAGAGGGAAAATAAGTATGCAAAGGGTTTTGGACCTTTTGGTCGTACTTTGTTATTTAATACCACAATGCATCGATATTTTGTTGTTGAGTTATTTTAGAGAAATGAAGACATTGGGAATTATATAATTATTTTGTTTTCCATCATACAAAATTATACATGAGATGCAAATCACATAATAAAACACAAACTAAACATATAAAACAAACTACAATCACTTTCCATACAACATCGCCAATAGATGACGTTTCACGTCTTCATCTTCTGGCGACAAGTGTTCTTTTGCTAATAGTGTATTCAAATGCATGTGATACACCTTTTTACTCTTCCTTTCTTCCTTTTTGACCTTTCTTTCTTCCTTTCTTTGCTCCAAATCTAGTTTTTTTCTCATGACTTCAACTTCACTTTCTCTAGTAATCCTTATTGCACGAAGATCCATAACACATTCATTATGACACAAAGAACATTTTTCTTTCTTTTTATACTCACGATTAATTGTTGAACCACCACTATTTGGCGTTTCTGTGTTGGATAGGAAACAATAGTCCCCTTCTTCATTAGTCCTTATTCTTTTTGTGCTATCACCACTTTCATCATCTTCATGGGAATTCGTGTCACTCTCATTTAGTAATTCCCACTTTGGATATTTACACATAACTTCATTAAATACAATAATATCATTGTAAGTGCTCCCACATGTAGCATAAATTTTATGAGCTTCATTCTCAATATCTTTCAGACTCATTTCACTTGTTTTTTGTTTATATGCTTTCCTAAAGGATTCGATCCACTTGATAGCATTTTCATTAAGTCGTTTCCAACGACCTCTCATTTGATTATCGTTTCTTAAGCCGAGTTTTTTTGGGTTTTCTGATTGAGCTTCATTGTATAATTTTTTAACTTGCGCCCACAATGATGTTTTCTTTTGGTTTTTTCCATGAAATTGAAGTTCATTGGCGACACACCATGCTGACATTAAAGCCATGTCTTCTTCAAAATCCCATTTATCGCCTCTTGCATTTTTTTCAAAAGTATTTTGCAATGCTTCGTGATTTTCGATTATAGGAACTTGGTGAACATCCAAAGAAAACTGAAGTTTTCAAAGTATTGATGATTTGGAAATTAATAAGAGTGAGCACAATTCATAAGTCCAATTAGAAATATAGAAATTGCAGATAATAGAAATAAAGTTTTGTAGACTTGTAGTTGTACATGAAGATATGTTAACATTAATATTAAACATAGCCTTCAAAAGTCAAAATTTTAAGCAACGAAGCACCAACAATAACTTTCAAATACCAAATCAAACAAAAATCAAGATGGACCAAAAAAAAGTTATGCGATATAATAGCAAATCCGATCTAAGATGAGAACTATAACCCACAAAATTGTCACAAAAAGAGATTAAAAAAAAAAAAAAAAAAAAAAAAAAAAAAAAAAAACTGAATTTAATGAGAAGAAAGCTCTGAATAAAGAACGAGCTATAAGGAGATCTAGAACCCTAAAACAAGTATAAAGCACTAATTACCTAAACAACGGCTTTTTAACGATTACAAAGCAAAATAAACCAGTAATTTGGTGTGAATATAAACATATACCTTGATCGTATCGCCGGATTGAAAGAGACAAGTAGTAGGTGTACCGGATGCTCCGCCATTGACGGAGGGATTAACGGTAGGCCATACAACGGCGGCGGCGGCGATGGGCTCTGCTTTTACATCTCCCATTTTGAGACAATTATGATAAGATTGAAAAAAAAAGGAGGGAAAGAAGAAGGGCGAATGGGAGAGGGAGGGTTTGAGTCGGAGAGAAAACCCAAATAATTATACGATGAATCCCTCTTGGCTCACTTGTTCATTTGGGTTATTCTTATTCCATTTTTACCCCTTGGGTCATGATGGAATTGTTAATTATTTGATGTCAAAAATAATAAACGAAAAAACGACTATATTAATTTTGGTTTAATTAAAAAACTTTCTTTTTTTTGAAACAGCAGGTGTACTAAACTTATTCCAAAATTATTTCATCTATGTCCACTGCAGGAGGTCCTCGACCTAAAAAAGGGAAGGCAACACCAGATACCGTTAGACTAGAAGCCTTTGGTAAACGAAAAACTATATGCAGATCAATATAATTTTGATTTTTGGGTTTGTTGAGTCATGAAATGAAAGCATAAGGAATTATATCATTATTTTGTTTTGTAGAATACAAAATTACAGATACAAAAGATGCAAATCACATAATAAAATACAAACTAATCACAAAATATAAAACAAACTACAATCACTTTCCATACAACATCACCACATTTCATGTCTTTATCGCCTGCCGACAAATGTTCTTTTGTTAATAGTGTATTCAAATGTATGTGACACACCTTCTTACTCTTTCTTTCTTCTTTTGGCAGACAAATGTTCTTTTGCTAATAGTATATGTGAGACACCTTCTTACTCTTTCTTTCTTTTTTGACCTTTCTTTCTACCTTTCTTTGCTCCACGTCGGTCTTTTTCTCATGACTTCAATTTCACTTTCTCTAATAATCCTCATTGCACAAACTCCTGCTACAAAATCAATTGTTGAACCATCATTATTTGACATTTATGGATTGAAATGGACACAATACTCCTCTTATTCTTCACTAGCCCTTGTTCTTTGTGTGGTATTGTCACAACTTTCATCATTACCCACTTCATATTCATAACAAGAACGCGTTATGTCACGATTTTTATGTAATTCTCACTATGGATGTTTACACATAATTTCATTAAATACAATAAGGTCATCATACATGCCCCCCCCCCATGCAACATAAATTTTATGAGCTTCGTTTCCAATATTTTTCAGACTCATTTCACTCGTTTTCATTTTATATGCTTTCCTATAAGCATCGATATACTTAATAGCATTTTCGTTAATTCGTTTCCAACAACCTCTTATTTGATTTTCATTCATCGATTGTAGTTTTTCTAGCTATTTTGTTTGAGTTTCATCATATAATTCCTTAATGCGGGACCACAATCACATTTTCCTTTGTTTTTTGTTTTTTTCTATAATGTTGATCTTCACTAGCAATACACCATAACATTAAAATCGTGTCTTCTACAAAATCCCATTTATCGGCTCTTGCACACTTTTCAATATTATCCGAAGCTCGAACATTTCCAGTGATAGGAACTTGATCAACATCTAAAAAAAACTTGAGTGTTCGTAGTATTGAGATTTTGGATAATCTTAAAAGTTTCAAATTTCATAACTTTTTATGGGATATGTTGGATCCAAACTATGAATTACAAAGAGTAGAAGGATACAGTTGGGTTTGTATATGAAAATGTATCAATATTATGCTTTATCAAATGAAAAAAAATGGCGTACTGTGTTTTCTTATACAAAATACTTTATAAATTATAAGATAATTTCTATTAAAAAAAATTACACACCAACCAATCAAGAAATGATACATGCATGGAGTATGATTCATGAGTGATATTTGACCAAACCAAACCAAACCCAACCTAATCTTTGTTTGGTTGTCTGATTGGTTTGATGACATTTCTTTCCCTTTTCTTCATTGTTTTATTTTGTTTCAAGAATACAGATCAAAAGTATATTTCTGAGCATAAATCACCAATAACTTCCATATACCAAATCAACCAAAATTGAAACAGACTAATATGCAAAACCAGTTTAAGCATATATTTTCAAAACTCAGTTTAGAACACTTAATTTTGAACAAACCCAAACCCACATATCAGTAAAGTGAAATCTAACATGAGAGTTAGAATCCCACAAAGTTATGTAAAAAATCGCACAAAATAAAGAACAAAACTACAAGTACACCTAGAACCCTAAAACAAGTGTTGGTAAATAGCTAAATAGACGGTTTTAACGATTACAAATCAGAATATGTAGGGTTCAAAATGAAAATAGTGAGAAGTCGAAATAGGTTTTAGTTTGTTAGGTTGCGAAATCGGGTTGATTTCGAAATGTATGTATTTACAAGGCATGTTGAATTCGAACTTAATGCTTAGGGTAGGTATATTAATAAAGAGTATCCTTTTGCACTATTCATTCTGTAAAACTCTCTTGAACTCGTGTACTCCTTACAGACGTTACCAAGCCAATCAGATCTTATTTACTCAACTTGTTCTTATTGCTTTTTGTGATTGATTTCATATTGATAACTTGATTCTAATACACATCATAATTAACCAATAATTTGGAGTGGATATAAAGTACAGGGATACCTTGATCGTATCGCCGAAGTGGAAGACACATGTAGCAAGCGTAGCAGATGCTCCGCCGTTGACGGGGGGATTAACGGTAGGCCATATGCCAACGACAGGCTTTGGTTTTACCTCTCCCATTTGAGACAATTATGTTAAGACTGAAAACGGAGAGAAAGAAAGAGGGAGGGTTTGAGCGAAGAAAAGCAATTATTTATATGGTTATGGATTCTTAAAAGTAAAGTCTAAAATCACCGGTTCATTTGGGTTTTCATATTTCCCATTTTTACCTTTATTCGGTTCACATTTTCATTTGAGTTCAACTAAAAAAAATAGTAGCACAAACATACTCACATAGGGCTTAAAAAAGCATGACAAAACTTGAGTCGAATCCTTATAACTTAGATTTGCTTCTTTGTATGTTTTGAGCTCGATTTAATACACGAACATGAGAAGATCCTCAAAACATAACCCTCTTTTTAAGTATACATAGATGATTTTGGATGAACAATGATTGCTTTTTTAGGAAGGTCAGTATTATATTTACATATAAAAATAATACTAAAAATCAATAAAAATTGATTTTTTTTCTTCGCAAATTTAATGGTTTGCTACAACAAAGTTGAATATATAGTGTCCATGATCACTCAATTTTGAATATTTACTCTCCATCTTACTTGGGATTAACTTGCAACAAAACTTAAATACAATAGATAACAAAAGAAAATTGACAAAAATAGTTATATCTTTATATGTTTTTTAACATAATAATAACCGTATTAAAAAACAAAATTACTTTGAATAACTATATATTAACAAAAATAGTTATATCTTTATATGTTTTTTAACATAATAACCGCATTAAAAAACAAAATTACTTTGAATAACTATATATTGACAAAAATAATCATATCTTTATATGCTTTGTAACATAATAACCGCATTAAAAAAACAAAATTACTATATTTCCATCAGGCGCTATGAAATTGTGGATCACATTGGGATTTTTTTTTCTTTCCAAGGTATTGTTGGCCTGCCACAACTAGTTGGGTTTTTTTTTTTTTTTTTTTTTTTTTTTTTTTTTTTAAAATTGTCATGACAAGTTAAAAAGTAGCTAATAAACTAGCTTATATAATCTAACTTTTTGAAAAGCTAATTTGAGTAGTTTTTCAGGAGTTTGTTCAAGATTTTTCGAATATACACTATTATAAAAAAAAATAATAATAAAAACATATTATTGTAAATGTTCGCTTATGCCATCTTATATCTTTCAGTTAGCTTATGAGCTAGTTTTTATCAAACTTTATTTTTTGTCAGCTAGCATATAAGGTAACAACTAGTTTATCAGCTACAAACTAGCTTTTCAGCTAGTATGTCAAACATAGTTGATAGTCTAAAAATAGTTTTTTGTATTGGTGATAATACGAATTATAACACTCTGAAATTCACAAAAAAAATTATAAAATAGCAAGTGCAATTGTGTAAATGTAATTTTCTTGTTCGCTTGAAGATTCTATGGCTCTAATATGAAATTTCGTTTCAACACATTTCGTTCCTAATGTCATCTTCTTATATTTATTTTTGTTTTGAATACTTTATGATTTGTAATATAAGATTGGGAAGGCAGATGTGATAGATTTATAAATAGTTTCAAGAAATGGTATCGTAGGAGACATTCCCCAGAAAAAAAAAGTTATAAGTTAACCATTATTAGAATAATAAATCCGAAAATCATCCTTATCTTAAAGATCACTATTAAATTTATTCTTACTGAAATCTAACATACCTTAAGAGAGTTCAGTATAGGTACATTAACATCGTTGAGAGGCTGATCTGGCCCTCCACAACATTGTTGCTCGTTGCCTCTCAACAACAAAAAAAATAATAATAATAATAAATAAAAAATAAAAAATAAAAAATAAAAAAAAACAATTCTTTTTTTTTTATGTGACTTATCATATTTCTTTAAAAAAACAAAAAATAATTTTTTTTACCTATAAAGTGGTGTGGAAGATATTTCCTCAAAAAGTAATGTGACTTAGGATATGATAATATGAGATGTAACAAAAATTTAGTATGGATGGGATGACTTGTACTTACCAGCCTAATATATTTCCAAAGGCTCGTGGATGTAGGTTTAAATCATGAATACATCAACAAAATCTTATGATCATTTCTTGATTCATCACTCTTATAGAGATGTTCATTGTAAGCAATATGCAGGGCCGGCTCTATGTAGAGATTTTTTAGGCTAGGGTTTAGGGCCCCCAATTCTATGAGGCCTCATATTTTTCAAAATCTAAAAGTTTAGTCCATTAAAAAATCCAATCCGATAACCACAAAATAAATGAAGCGGAAGAATAAATCAACGATCGCTGCATTCATGAAACTGAAATGACATTGCATTCTTCTACTGATTCTATTTTCTGTGACATATTCATCTCATCTGTTTTTGATTTCCGAGTATAGTAAAGACCAAAGGACTCCAAATTTTTGGCCTGCTTAGAGCCCCTAAAATGTTTGAGCCGCCCATGGCAATATGTGTACCTTTTCTGTACAAAAATACATAATTTCAACTTCTTTTTTTTTTTCTCATGTTTTTTACTATACGTACATAGTCACCATAATAAAGAATAACTCACATATTTGATTGTTTCGAGCACCATACCATTTTGTATCGGACCGGTTTCCTTCAACTGATTATTCATAGCCAAATGATTTACGGTTAAAATAAAATATCAATATGTAGCCATTGGGTTAATCATATCATTAACAATATTACTGGAAAAATGATTAACAACAAACAACATCACCATATTTAGAGGCAAGCTAGCAACACTTACAAAATACCTGACATCAACGTCATCAAATTTCTACATAAACAATGCTTGTTCTAGGACTTTGTAAAGACAAACAAAAGACAAATCTTAACTTGGAAGCTACCAAGTTAACCAACCTATACAAATTGGTATCAAAAGTCAATTTCACACCATACTTTGTATAATCTGAGTTATATGCTACATCACATTACTAAAAAAACTAGTTAAATGAACTCCATTTTGAACAAAATAATTATGTATCTAAAGTGCTTGAGATAAATGGTTAAAACCTTAACTCATATGAAATAGTAAAGCACCCTCTACAAATGCTAAATGTAGTTTGCCAATAGTTAGAAAATCCGGATTTATGGCTACGATGAGTGACGTTCAGATAAATGAAGCCTGAAATATATGGATCATATTAATTAAAATGTTAACTTTTAGAAATATTTATGTTACATTTCAACATATTAAAATGTGAGCTTGTAGAAATAATTACGTTACATCTCCATAGTCTTATATGAAATTTTGAAACAAAATTGACTTAGTTCGAAATGTAATTTTTCAGGGATTTAGTATTTGTTTTAGTGCATATAAAAAAGTTTGAGTTTTTTACTCTACTTATCCATAATCACATGGTCATTTTTATCAATATCCCTAAACCATCAATAATCATTTTTTGCATTACATTTAAACATCCTTTGTAAACAACCTAAATTAAGATAGTTATTCTCTCCGTTAATCGAGCAAAATATTATTTTTCTAGGTTGTAATTTTTTTTTAAACAATTTTCTTCCTCAAATATTTAATATGAATCCATATATTGCAACCGTTACAACATATTAGTAAACTTTGGTTGCGATGTACTCTTTAATTGTGATACAGTGATGTAGGTATGTATGTATGTATGAGTTTTTAAAAACTTATTATATTAAGAATATTTTAACTTTTTAAAGGTGGTATTTGGGATTGTTTATTTGAAGTGCTTATTGTTTCATTATGGACATCAATAATAATAAGAAGTTTTAAATATGTGAATATGAATATTTTATAAACACTTGTTAACTTAAATAATGAGTTTTGGTAAATTACTTTCTTAATTATTGACTTATTTAAAGAGTTTTTTTATAAGTATCTTCTAATTATACATATAAGCACCATTTATCAAACACTAAAAAATTAACTTATTAACTTATTATGTTTTGATATCGGATAAGCAAAATTAAACATTTTTTTTCTAAAACTTCGTTTTGATACCGGATAAAGTGATAAGCATTTTTACTATAAATTATAAGTCGTTTTAAATAAACAATCCCAAACATCCCTATAAGTAAGGGTGTTATTCAGTTGCTTTTTTCGAGTTTCAGTTTAATCGGTTCAGTTTTATCGTTTTTTACATCGTAAAACTAAGTATAACAAAACCAAATAATGTTCGGTTTAATCGGTTTTAGTTAATTCGGTTACGGTTTTTTTGGTTTGGTTTACCAATTAAACCGAATAAAAATTTGCATGTAAAAATAAATATTAAACTATAAGAAAAAAGACTTACTAAACTTTTACTAAATGGAAAAAAAAACACTAATATATAACATATTATATTCAATTTCTGATGGCGTGTTGTTTTGAATTGTCGATGCACTCATACAAGTTGTAGAGAAGATATATATATATATATATATATATATATATATATATATAATATATATATATATATATATATATATATATATATATATATAGTTACATATGAAGATGAAAAAAATAATAAAATGTTAATTGACATTTGACCAATTAGTTGTTGCATTTTCATAGAATATATAAACAATTAGACTTTTATAATTGCTAATAATTAAATAACGAGTTATGGAAAAAAAAAATTCAATAGCTAATCTATCAATTTCAATATAAAATGTTAATTTATAGATATAAACTAGAAAAATATATATTAATCAAATAGTTTATTTGTCTTAACCAAAATAATAAAAATTAACAAATACCAAACCATATAAAGCATCATTATTCAATTAATCAAATTGAATTAACAGAATAATCAAATAAACCGAACCAAATAAACCGAACCAAATAAACCAAATATCATTTGGTTTAGTTCGGTAGTTCGGTGGTTCAGTTTTGTTATTTCAGTCATATACCAAACCAAAAGTTGCATTTATCAAATTAGTCATGTTATTTTCGGAATGGATATTGTATATTTTGGTGACATTGTATTTTACTAAATTGAAATGACAGATTGTTTAGTAGTTATGTCAATCATATAGTATATAAATATTTTTCTTTTATTATTTTAAGGATTTTTATAATAAAATGAGTTTAAATGATATCAATAATTCAATATAAAAATCGATGGGCCAACCAAAATTCATAATTTCATATGGATAAGTGGGCCAGGTTAAGTAATATAAATTCCAATATAAGTTTTCGAAATTTAGGGCAAGAGAGAATATTTATTTTGGAAATCGGAGGGACAAAACGGTAAATTTGCATAGCCGGCTGGGGACGGGTGAAAGGCTGGCGGGAGTGGGTGGAGCCACGCTTGCTGTCTGTCGAATCTTATCGACTACATTTCCCTCTTTTTACAGTCTTCTTAGATCGAAATCAGAGCATAAAACCTCAACTTTTCTTCCAACTGATTCACACACACTCCGAGAGAGATATGAGGGAGATCATAAGTATACACATAGGTCAAGCTGGAATTCAGGTTGGAAATTCATGTTGGGAGCTTTATTGCCTCGAACATGGCATTCAGCCCGATGGTTTGATGCCTAGGTTTGTTCTTCCTTTTTCCTTCTTCGATTCCCTTTCATTAATTTTCAGTAAATGTATTTGGTTGAATACATCTACTTTCAGTGTTCGTTGAATTCTGCTGTTTTTGTAGCTTCATTTAACACATATATTGATGTTTCTATCGAATCTCTTTTTCTGTTTACCTTTTCTACTTTCTTACTTCGCTAATGTTCATGATTCGTACTCTGTTTTTGTTCTATGATTTCAATTTCTGATTCTCGATCGATCTGAATTTATGGTAAAGTACTAAAGTGTTCGTTAGGTCATACATTTAGGGATCTTACTTCTTATGTCATTAGAAATGGAAAATTTCTTCGATTAAATGCGTTTCAAGTGATCCAAACTCGGATCTCAAGTTCATAAGCTAAAATTCGATGGATCTACGTGGTTGACTTTCTTTGACTGTAATAAAGTAAACACGACCATGAAAATTCCAATAGTTTAATCTCTTGATTCACTCCGATTCCGAATAGATCTTCACAATGCACAATGCAGCTAACAAATCAAACTATTTCTTTCTTTTTTCAGTGACACAACACCTGGAGTTGCAGATGATGCATTCAACACGTTCTTTAGTGAAACTGGAGCAGGAAAGCATGTTCCAAGAGCAATATTCGTTGATCTTGAGCCAACTGTGATTGATGAAGTTAGAACAGGAACTTATCGCCAACTCTTCCACCCTGAACAACTTATTTCTGGAAAAGAAGATGCTGCTAATAACTTCGCAAGAGGCCATTACACAGGTACTTAACGATTTATCCAAATTCTATCTTATATTCATCCAATCATATACAAATACAACGATAAAAAGTTAAAAACACACCTCTTTTTTTCTCAGTGGGAAAGGAGATTGTTGATCTATGCCTTGATCGAGTAAGAAAGTTAGCAGACAACTGCACTGGTTTACAAGGGTTTTTAGCATTCAATGCTGTTGGTGGTGGAACTGGTTCTGGACTCGGGTCTTTATTGTTAGAACGTTTGTCTGTTGACTATGGAAAAAAGTCAAAGCTTGGGTTCACAATTTATCCTTCTCCTCAGGTGCTTTATTATCAAAGCATCTTCAACGTGATGTTTTTTTTTTTTTTTTTTTTTGAGTTAGTTAAACACAATATTTATAACAACAATGCTTTATTATCAAAGCATCTTCAACGTGATATTTTTTATTTTGAGTTAGTTAAACACAATATTTATAACAACAATGCTTTATTATCAAAGCATCTTCAACGTGATGTTTTTTATTTTGAGTTAGTTAAACACAATATTTATAACAACAAGTTGTTATCATCAACTTTCAGGTCTCAACAGCAGTAGTAGAACCCTACAACAGCGTCCTTTCAACACACGCGCTACTCGAACACACAGATGTTGCGGTTTTATTAGACAACGAAGCAATCTACGACATATGTAGGAGATCACTAGACATCGAGAGGCCAACATACACGAATTTAAACCGATTAATTTCTCAAATCATATCATCTTTAACAACTTCTCTTCGATTTGATGGAGCAATTAATGTTGATATTACTGAGTTTCAAACAAACCTTGTCCCATACCCTCGGATTCATTTCATGCTTTCCAGTTATGCCCCTGTGATTTCGGTTGAGAAAGCGTATCATGAGCAGCTTTCGGTGCCTGAGATTACGAATGCGGTGTTTGAGCCTGCGAGTATGATGGCGAAGTGTGATCCGAGACATGGGAAGTATATGGCGTGTTGTTTGATGTATCGGGGAGATGTTGTTCCGAAAGATGTTAATGCTGCTGTTGCAACAATCAAAACAAAACGCACTGTGCAATTTGTTGATTGGTAAGAAATTAATTTTATTATTATTGCTATTGTTGTTATATGATGATAATATATGTAGATTGGTTTATTGATTTATGAAATTAAAACTGACTGTTGTTTTTGTATTTTGGGGTTTTTTTTTATGGATTAAACCTCAACTTTAATTTTATTTTTCTAAAAAAGACCCTTTTTTTTTTTTTTTTTTTTTTTTCGATTTGGCCGTTTTACCAGGTTTACTAAATTTTTTTCCGGGAAAAACCCTAAACATTTTTTTTATTGAAAAACTCATTTTTATTTTTATTTTATGGTTTTTTTACGGATTAAATTTAAAACTCAAGTTTATATTTTTCCTGAAAAAGACTTTGCATTTTTTTCATTTTTTCTGATTTGGCCCTTTTGTTCATTTTTCTCTAAAAAAAGTTGTAAAATGTGAGGGTTTTTTTCAGGAGAAACTAAAAAAGTTGAGGATTTATTTGGAAATATTTAGAAGGTTGAGGTTTTTTTTTTCCGGAGAAATAAACAAAGTTGAGGGTTTGTTTTGGAAAATTAAAAAATTTAAGGTGTTTTTCATGGAAAAAAATAAAGATGGGATTTAATGTGGAAAAAACACAAAATATAAGGTTTTTATAAGATTAACCCTTTTTTTTTACGGATTAAACCTCAATCTTTTTTTTTTTTTTGTTAAAAAAGACCTTGTATTTTTTTTACTTTTTTCGATTTGGCACATTTAGCAGGTTTACTTGTAATCTTCTGGTTTTAAACAATTGTTTTTTTTTTTTTCTTTTTTTCCTGAAAAACCCTTCATTTTTACCTTTTTTTATTTATTTTTTGAAAAAACCTCACATTTTACATTTTTTTGGAAAAAAAAAAAAAAGTTAAGGTTTTTTTCGTGAAAAAAAGGTTGAGGTTTTCTCTGGAAAAAAAATTGTCTAAAACTGGAAGATTACCAGTAAACCTGGTAAGAGGACCAAATTGGAAAAAATGGAAAATTTGAAGGTCTTTTTTTAAGAAAAAAAATAAAGTTTTTGTTTAAAAATTTCAACACGTCAATTTTTACTTTAAGTTTCCAAAAATAACTATTTTTTTTAATTATAATTTCATGGTATTTAATTATTTTAATTTGTAAAAAAAACAATTTTTTAGATGCTATATAATTCTTTAAATAAAATATGCAATTTACAACGATATACCTTTATATATATCACAAAACTTCATTTTTCTTCACATATCAAATATAAATTTTTATCTAGTTTCTACTTTATACATAACAATCCATTCCATTGATTTTGCTATAGGTGATTTGGAATTTAATATTGTTAATATTTGTTTGACTTTGACAGG